CTAATTTTTTTATTTTCCATTTGTTTATTGCTTTTGTTTGTGTATTCCTTCATTTCAAGTGTTGATTGCGATTGTTTCTTCATAATTGATTTTTCTGTTCGTTCACATTTGTCATGTGCTATTTATGATTGGATTGGAACGTTCTTAAAGTTCAGTAATAAAGTTGTCAGTTTTTGCATCATAAAGGTTTATGATCGTGTGAGAATCATCTGAAAACAAGTTAAGCGGATGTGCACAAACTAAGTTTCAGATGCGAATTCAATATTTGCACTCGGCTTGACGGGAACATCCGAAATTGGTGCGGTCGCATCGACCGTCTCTGAGGGAATGGGTTCTGCATCAACCGCTTCGAAGAATATCCTCACCAGATTCACGATTCAAGTGAGTACACAGTTCCCCTACATTATAATAAAGAATATCGACAGAATCGCCTATTCATTTCATAATTTTCAAGGCAAATATTTGGTTGGAATTGGCTGAGCTGTATCTTGAGCTGGACCGGATAAACGACGTGCGACCTTGTGTTGAGGAAGCGTGCGCAATTTTTCCGAACTCACATCAGACACTCTATCTGAAGGTTTGTTGAAATTGATTGATTCGTTGTTATTTCAAAATATTTCAAGCNGTACGCCAAGCAAAATCATCAAAGTTGATTTATGTGTGCGAATATTTTTGGCAGTGAATTAAAAATTGAGAAGAATTAATATGAGAAATTGGGTGCTTGCAGGGTCGCTTGTTGGAGCTACGGGCTGCACGTTGTAATGACGCATCAACCCGAGATATGATGCGAACAGATGCGAAAGCGTCTCTGCTCGGAGCACTCGCCATAACACCATCGCATATCGCATCGTTAAGTCATCTGGCCAATATTTATCGATCCGACGGAAACATTCGAATGGCCGAAAAAATGCTTAAGTTCGCTGTTTATTTTAGTTGGGACTTGTAAACATATTGATGGTACTGCATTGGGGAGAGATTATGTGATGTTGGATTAAGTAATCTGAAGAGTGAGCGTGAATTAGAATGTGTGATATTTGATGTTTTGGTGAGTTGTTGTTTAGATTGAAGGTTAACGAGTATTGACGTTTTGTGTTCGATTGCTTTGACGTTTATGGAGTTGTCATTGAGTGGTGATTATGACGAGAAAATGGTATTGCAATTAGAAATGATTGCAGAGATATTGTGCGAATAGAACCTTTGCACAATGAGTCGTGGCAAATGCTGGGAATGATATTGGCTGAAGATGGACGTCACGATGAGGCGTTGGAGTGCTTCGAGACTGCGTCTGCACTGGACAGCTCTACACCATTAATACCGTTCACGTCAATTCCGATCATTATTCGATCGTCGTGATTGATTCGTTCGCTCGGTTATCTCTTTTGAAGATCTGTCGTTCATGGCAGA